ATGTGTCACGGACCAGAATCGATGTAACCTTGCAGTGTATATATAGCCTTTACCAGCAAGTCTAGAGAAAAAGCATTTGTTAGATCAGTTATTGCATACCAGGTGCTGGGGGATATTCGATTTGCTCTAGCCATGAAATCACATCTGGAACAACAGCTGCAATTGGAGTTACCCCTTGATTTAGCGTGTGGTACTGAATCGTCATTCTCTAAGAACGTCTGTTTTCTGCAGGGCCACGTGGGGAAGTCGAAGGGGAGGCGGTGGGGGTCGCCACCCTGCCCCCTCAGAGCCTGGAGGTCGGTGGCGTCAGCTGCCTTCAGCCGCTGCAGTGCCTCCAGGCGTGCAGTGGCCCCCGATTTACTTGTTTACTTGTGGCCCTCACTCCCCAGATCAGGGGAGATGTTTGGGAAAGGCCTCCCGGACGGTGAGCTGCTCAGTTCTTTCCGTTTCTTTCCTGAGCGTGTGGCTCACAGCTTTCCTCTGTCCCTCTTCATGCCTGCCACCGTCTTTGACCGCAGCATTACGTCGATGGCTTTGCCAGCACCGCGACAACACGGTGTTTCAGTATGACGTTCTGAGACCTCCCTTCCCAGTTTCCTTCACGTGCAGCTGTACCGTAGTTTCTGCGTCATGGTCACGTGGAACGATCCTCTCTCCAAGTTCTCTAACCGCTGAGCCCTTCCTCGGACCTGAGTCCCCTCGACATGTTCTCCAGTCCCAGCATGCCTTTACCTGCCAGCCTGTCAACTCGAAACCACTTGGCGGCCATTCTGAATCCTGGAATCTCGCTCCGATCGTCCTTGCTCGGCCTGCCGACCCCGACGCCCTGCGGTTGCCCTCGGGGCTCTGATAGCTGGCCTGCTGTGTGCTGCTGCGTGCGGCTAGGCCACCGTTTGTCACCCTTGTCACGAGTGTCGTTGTGGACTGGATGCTTAGTTCGTGGTGGGGCTGTTCTGTGTGTTGTAGGATGTTTAACAGCGTCCTTTGGCCTCTCTGCTTTGCATTCCGGTAGCACCCCAGTCGTGACAACCAAACACGTATCCAGACGTGGCCATATGTCTGGCGGGGGCAGGTCGCCAATCATCCTGGTTGAAAACTGCTAGGTTCGTCAATAAAACTTGGTGTGACCGGCTCTATAAAAAATCATTAATTCTTCAAAGCTACGTTTTTTTAGACACTGTTTGAGAGTTTTGTATTTATTTAGTCCTCACAGCAGCCCTGTCAACGCGTATAACTGTTCGCCCACTTCGTAGGTGAGTAAACGCAGCCCAGAGGGTCGCAGCGCGCTGGGCCCGCCCCCGAGCTGGTAAGCGGTGGGGCCGGGACGGGGCCCCTGCGGTCACTCTGCACAGGCCTCCCTGGGGAGCCCGCCTGCTCCAGCTCTGACCATGGCTCGTAACTCGTCGGCAGCTGCCATTTTGGTTCTGTCCCTTACCGCCTGGAGCAGTCGCCCACCGCGCTGTGCCCAGTCACCCCGGACTTCGTTCTTCTCCAGACGGTTTCTTCAAGTATTTTTTCAGAGAAGAGAAAAAAATATTATGTTGTATTTATTTTGCCAGAGTAGTAAATGCCTAACTGCCAAGTATTTGCACTTGGCCTTACTGCCAGGTGTTTTGTGCTTGACAGAACATTGACCTCCCCACCTAGATTCTTTTGATTTTTCCCGTTGTTTTCGGGTTCTGTAATTCCTGGCAGGACTGGGCCCCGCCTTCATGGAGTCCTCGGACGCCTCGACTGCCTTTCCCAGCTTCGTCCTTCCGCAGTGTCCTCCCCTCCGCGTCATCAGTTGCATCCCCCACGTGCTTTCGTCCCGAGAGTGCCGTGGACAGCTCTGGTGTGCTTTCTGTCTCCTTTCTGTTCTCTTCAATATTGAGGATTTGTGATTTTTTTCATTCATTCCTTTACCATCGTTTAGTGGGATTTCAGGAGGGAGAGAGATGTAAGTCCCCTGCCATCTTGAACTACAAGTCCATTTATTTTAGTAAAAGAACATTGTTATGAGCATGACGTTTATTGGTTAGGGCTGAGGGAACAAAAGTTGTTGCAGCACATTTAACAGAACGGCGGCATTTTGAAAGTACTTGTCAGAGAAGAAGCATGTTGAAATCTTTTCCTTGCTAACCGATATGAAGTAAAATACATACACTGTTTCATGATTTTTATTGTTTGTATTAAGAGAGGAAGCTGTGTAGGATTTGTCGTCCATTTTTAATGTTTGTTACTTTAGAAAATCCTTTTTGTATTTTAGAATATTTAAGAATTCCTAGTACTAAGATTTATAGGTATCCGATCCTTTTATTTACACATGGGAAGACAGAACCAGAGAGGTTAAACGACTTATTCAAGACTTTTTAGCTATTTAATGGCTGAGTTGGTCAGAGGACTTAAGTTTCCTAAGTATTTCTGTCATTCTGCAATACTGTAGGCTTCCTTTTAAGTTTTTAAATAATGTTTCTATTTTCCATCTTCTGCGGCAATGTGTATTTAAGACTCACTATTCAGCATATCATGTCGCTTTGAGTGTCAGGCCCGGTCGCAGGTGGACAGTGAGGTAGTGAGGGAGCCGATATCGCACGTGTCTTTTAGTGATAATAGCCTCCGATTCCAGGCTGCGTATTAATGCCCTCCTGTTCCTGGTCATGATTTCTATGCTTAACACATACTAACAATTTTAAAGTGATTTATATTCTTTGTGTCCTAGGTTTTCTACAATAAATAATGTAAAGAAAAATAGTTCTCTATAGAAATTATTACAGTTAGCATTGGATTCTTTTGAGGAATTTCTATCCTCTCACTGCAGACGCGTAAATTTATGGAAGCGCAAATCTGAGTGCGTGCGCTTATTTTTAACGACCTGCGGCATAGCGAGCGCCCCCCGGATTCATGGGCTTCGCAGACCAGTACGCGCGAAGCTAGCTCCCCTCGCTTCCGCAGCACTGCTCGTCCGCCTGGTCCTGGGCTCCCCGTTTTCCCAGCCCTCCGCAGTCAGCTGGGCATCAAGACCTTGCAGTGCTTTTGGTGAATAGCTCTGTCTCCCTTCGGTAGTGCGAGGGCCACTGCCGGGTGTAGGCCCGTTACCATCTCCGTCCTGGCTAAGCCGAGGAGCTTTGCGACAGTTCACCCTCTTCGTTTTCTCTCCCTTTCTCTGGTGCATCTTGTGTACTGCTGCAAGTTTTCTTTTTCAAACAAGGAGCAAGTACTGTCACGCTGTTAACGAGAAACCTCTCTGGATTCCCTCCTGCTTCGAGGATAATGTCTGACCCTCCTGGCCTGTGGTGCAGGACTCTTAACAGCCTAAGTGAGGGGAGCAGCTGTTTTCAGCAGCTCTTTGGCCCCCGATCTCTGCTGTCACGTTGGTTGAACTCTGTGTCCCCTCCCGTTTCATGTATTTTCATATCAAGGCGGGAACAGAGATTGATGCACGACGGGCACTCGGTGTTCAGCGCGTGTTTGCTGGGTGCGTCTGAATGAAGGCGGTGCTGTTCCTTGCACCTGCTCTCCCTCTACCTTCCCCCATTCTACCCGGAGATTCCTTTTCAACTTTCAGGCTTCAAAGGGGAAAAACAGTGCAGGACATAACAGGAATACTTAGGAAATCAGAACTCCGTGACCAACTCTTAAAGGAAGCAGCCGACTCTAAGGCACCTGCTTTTCCTCTGACAGCTCTGTAAATGAGCTTTATAGCCATTTCATAAGCAGGTTGGACACTGAGGTCCATGGCGCATCTCACAGGTGGCGGTGTGCCTGTGGTCTCTGTGTCTGCTTCAGTAGGACAGGAGCTAGGAGCTGGTTGTTAACATGGATTGAAGCAGTTGCTACTATCCTTAGAAGCCATTTGACAAGTAAGTGAAGAATCCTGAGATGGTTCTAGACTGTGATTTTCGAAGGAGAGCTTTGTCTAATCATTCGATAGAATGGCCAAAAAATAAAGTGAGTGTACAATTGAAAAGCAAATTCAGGTATTAATTCAGGGCTCACCGGAATAGAGAGCCCGGAAATAAATCCACACTATAAGGTCAATTAATTTATCACAAAGGAGCCAAGGGGAAAGGGCAGTCTTTTCAATAAATGGTGTTTGGAAAACTGGAGAGCCACATGCAAAAGAATGAAACTGGACCACTGTCTTTCACTATAAACAAAAATTAACTCAGAATGGATTAAGGACTGGACATAGGACCTGAAACCATAACACTCCCACAAGGAAGCCGGTAGCGAGCTCCTTGACGTCACTGCGGGCGATGGGTTTTTGAATCTGACTCCAAAAGCAAAGCAGCAGAAGCAAAACTAAATGCTGTAAGTTAAAAAAAAAAAAAAGAAATAATCAGCCTGCATTATTCATTCATACTTTAAGTAAATTCAGTATATAGAAAGACTAGAAAGTGAGCATCATAAAACAAAGTAGCTAGCGATTTTTCCTCTGAAAGTTTACCTTAGGGAAAAAGAGAAAATTATAACAAAGTCAGGATATTTAGAAATATTGTATAACAAGAATTTGTGCTCAGCCCGGAATTTGAAGGACTCTTCATCGTTTTTAATTTTATTTAAATTTGTATTAAAAGAATAGTTTCTCTCACTGAACCTGAACTCGAGGCTTTTTTTTTTTTCAGATGGTCAGTAATAAAATGCATCGCCTTCCTGGGTTGGGCGCCCTTCTCAAGGGCTCAGACTGCCCCCGCCCTGGGCGGTCGCTCATGGCCCTGCTTGCCAGGTTTCCGTCTGGGCCACCGCATCTGTGCTGTCCCCCCCCAGGGGCAGACGCCTGCTTCCTCTGCCACTCTCGTGACTCTTCACGAGAGAACTGGAGGAGGAGGAAGTCGAAGAGTATCCCTGGCTTTTTAGAGCAAAATCTCATGTAAATATACCTTATTATTGCTGCCAAATGTAAACATACAGTGAATTGACCTTTAAAAACTTTCCCTGTAAGATTTTATTATACCTGCCATATTATATCTTTGTATTGAATTGTATGCATGTAAATCAGTATCTCTTTTTATATTTAGGGCTCTCCGAAAAGTGTGGAATCCTTCGCGTCGATGCTGAGACATTCTCCTCTCACACAGATGGGCCCTGCCAAGGATAAACTAGTCATCGGACGGATCTTTCACATCGTGGAGAATGATCTCTACATAGATTTTGGCGGCAAGTTTCATTGTGTGTGTCGAAGACCAGAAGTGGATGGAGAGTAAGTACCGCTGCTTCTGGGCGCTTTAGGAGTGTTCGTTCAACGTGAGATGCCTCGAAAGTGTTATTGGGCGTTCACTGGTGATTTTTGAGAGAATATGTTGATTTCTCTTCATAATGCTAGTCAGTCGGGTTACACCAGATTCATGTCTTCTTAGAGCAGTGAGAATGGTTTTTGGGGGTAGTTCACTTCAGCCAAGATTTAACCCGAATAGTTCGGTTACTTCTTTTCCGTCCCTTCCTGTGTCTGCGTACCTGATGGTTATGTAGATAACAGCTATAGCTCGTAGCTGCATATACTGGCTTTGGGGGAGAAACTTCTAACTTAGAAAATTCCTTGCTCGGTTTTTAATTTATCATGAAAAGAATGCCTGTTGTCTTTATCATTGGCGGAATGATGATAACACCAAACGGGAAAGGAATGAGACCCAGCTGGGCCTCTGGTCTTTTCCTTTCCCGTCGACAATTTAGGTGGCCCGACCAGACAGAACAGCCTGTGGGGCCGGACACGTGTTTGCTCTGTGCCTTCATGTCAGGCCTCTGAGCAGATTCTGGAAGGCTAAGTCTCAGCAAGGGCAGATCTTGTTGCTTTGATACATACATTTATTTAGGTGACTATAAATAAGGTGTAAGTATTTACATAATTTGTTCATTTTTTCATCATTCATCAGCCTAACCTCCTTTTTTTATCCTTTTTGAGAACCATTTTTTTCCTCTTTAAGACTTATACGTGGTTGAATTGATTCTTTAGGAGAATTTCAGGATTAATTAAATGTGATGAATAATTCAAATTTAGTAAAATACCCAGTTTAGCAAAATGTTTTAATTGTTTCATTATTGCTTTTAATATATTTGGTGGCATTTTAAACTTAGAATAATTGATAAGAATCAGAAATCGTTTTGGTTAACTGAATATCCTGATTAGCTAAGTCTTGCCCTTTTACTAAGTTTCATAACTTTTTTGTTTAGTATTAGTTTTTGATTATAGTTTAAAGAAACAGTTTTCAGCCTTTGTCCCAAGAAGCACTTGAGTTGTGCAGAAAGGCTCAGGGATTTCTTGGGGGAGAGAGAAGTTAGGCACTATTTTCGGAGCAGCCCCGCATTCATTATTTTATATATTACAGTCTGGGAACACTTTGTATAAAGCGTATGTGGGGAGTGGGGTGAGTATTCCTACTGCAAAAAAGTGTTCGAAAATCAATTTTAAAAGAGAAATTTTAGAAAGTTCTAGAAAAGTTTTAGACACATGGTAACATTCAGAATGTAAACTAGAATATTTAAGCTCGATCAGTAATATTGTAATCTACTTCAAAGGAATTGCAAAATTGGATATTTAGAGGTGTGGATGAGACCTAATTCTTAAAATACCTACCTCAAAAGTTTTAACCATTATATGTTTTTCTTTCGTATCAGCTATGAGTTGAAATCAGAAATCACATTAAAACAAGAATGACTCTGGCATTAACGTCTTTGGCGATTGTTGTTGAATTAGCTGATCTGCTGAATTAATCAGCACTGGGTTCTCTTCCATGAAACTCGCTGACTGATACCAGCTCTCCGTGGAGAACTGGGAATCAGTGGTCTCCTCCTAGACCCGGGCACTTTCGCTTCCCTAGTCGAGGTATATGTTTAGCAAAAACCAATTGTTTGTTCCAAAACCTAGTCGTATTCTTAAGTAATCTATTTGTTTATGGCATAAGTTAATAAAATATGAGGACAGGGTTTTTGTTCTTATGAAAGATAATTTTTGGAAAGACTCCATAAAGGAGAGATGATTTTTAAAAACGAAATTGCTATTGAATTAGTTTGAGCAAATAAACCGTAAAGATGGGGGAGGGAAGAACATAAAACTCTGGAAGGAATCGCTTTCCAAGTGCCCTTCTGCTCCAGTTTGGTTTAAAGTGACTGACCTTGGCGACTGCAGACGTTGCTTGGGGTGTTGTTTATGTAAAGATGTTGGTGCCAAGCGCCAGTGACTGGACCTCTGCTCAGCGAGACACCCCGGCCCTATGCCAGAATGTTTGCATTAATTGCTAAGTTAATGTCTTCACAGTGTTATGTGTCTACTTTTTTTAATGAGCAGTCACTTTCACCTACTTTTCCATGAACCAAACTATGAGTCAGAAGGCTTCTACTGTGACTTAAAAATACAAGCCACTTTTCCGAAATGTGAACCTGCCTGCCCTTTTTTTTTAAAGACATTTTTTCTTGTGTCATTAATACAGCACACAGTTTCCCAAAATTGGCTCTAGTGTAGATCAAGATGCCTTTCCGTTTGATAATCATAGTAGTTAGCTTTTTGAAAACCTACATTGGCTCTTTATATATATTGTCCAATTTATTTTTCTTAAGAAGCATAGAAGGTAGAAGATATTATCCCCATTTTCCAGATGGAGAAAATGAGTCTCCAAGCACAAATAAAGTGCTGCAGTCACACAGCCGGTCATTGTCAAGGCGGGACTCAGACCTGGGGCTATGTGTCCAATACCCAAAAATGTTCTTTTCACTCTACTGTGCTGTTCTTTAGATCCTGTAACATAGTTACTGATGCGCCATAAAAACCTAAAATAGTCTCACGTATGAACCAGTTTCATACCCAGGGACCCTGAGGGCAGCGTGGAGGTAAAGCTGTGTGGAGGTCTGTTACAGAACAGCAGGTCGCCTTGGTGACAGTGTCCACGGTTGTGGTCCAGCGTGGGTACACTGTGGTTTCCATGGTATGTTTGGATAGTGTCACCACCAACAAGCTCATGACCGGCGGGTCCAGGCTTCGTTTTGGAGTGCTTGCGTATCAGAGTCACAGGAATAAAACTGCGGTCGCAGGAGCTGCTTGATGTCTAACAGTTAGCAGCTGAGAGTCGGCATCCCTGCCGCCATTTGGGAATTATGTAGTTCAAAAAATTTGTTCTGCAAATAGTAGAAAGTTGACTCTTTATTCATGTAATACTTAATTTTTAGTTCTTTGATTCTTTTTATATGTCATCTACTTTCTTTAAAGTAGTTGAACCTGGGTTTTTTATTTTTTGTTCTCTTTTGGTGATGAAGGTCATAATTATAAACAAATATATAGAATTATTGTTCCTTAACCACTTAATCCCCCAGTTACGTAGTTTTTTTGTTTTATCCTTGGGTGTCATCTTTTTCTGCTATTGTGCTTGTGTCTGGAGTTTTAGCCTTGTAGACTTCTTAATTTCTTCTTCTAATATTCCGATGCCTGGAAAATTGGCCACCAGATTTGTTTTGCTTAAAAATAAGAACAGCTAGTGTTTGAGTAAGGACCTAGCAGCCTCTCCTTCGTAAGTGTACGTACTTTAGCACATGGCCTTCAACATGTGTTTTGACAGCTCCCGACGCCTCCGCTTAATTCTCACTGTGTTCTGTGGAGACTTGATGTCACCAGATAACCAACTTCCTGGTGAGTGAGGTGTAACTGGGTCAGGGTCTTGCCTCTGCAGACTGCCTGTTCGCTGATGCCCTTGATAGGGCCTGTCACATATCGGAACAGTGTTTGTTGAACTGGTAGAGGTGCTGAGTGTCTTGGACATGAGCAGTTATCGTGGTTGAGACCTTAACACCTCCAGCTGGAACAGTAGTGAAAATTAAATGGAGTTATTGGATCTCAAGTACTGTTTGAGATGGTGCCAGTTCTTACAGTGAATTTGTAAGTAAATCAGTAAATTTCTTTAAACCATTGTTAAACCCAAAATATTGCTTTATGGTATTGATTAGTTTGGTTAGCTTGGAACGTACATATAATACATTTTATCAGTCTCAAGAATTAAGCTGCTGATTTTATTAATTTTATTTTTAAATAAACTGGGTCGCGGTGCAGGTTTTCACTGAGTCAGCAGATATTTAATGAGGTGCTATTATGTGCCCCCTCTGTTTCTAAAAGCTGGCGATGTACCGAGTAAAGACGTCCCCTGCTTTCAGGGACTTGATGGTTCAGTCAGGAGATAGAGAAGTAAACAGGTCACACCGTGTACGCTGTTTCCTGGATTCTGTGGAAGCAGAGGAGAGGGGATTGATGACTGTCGGCATGTGCCAGGGTGTGAGAGGCAGGCAGGAGCGGGCAGTGCGGAGAACGGGAGGGAGCCGCATGGGCAGTTTCAGTGAGTGGGAGCCTGGCTCTTCTGGGAGCTCAAGTGGCTTCGCTGGCCTAATGTTAGGGGTGATGGCGGAGTGGGGAGCTGGGAGGGGGCCAGGTCTGGAAGGGATTTGTATGCCATTCTGAAAAACTGGGGCTTCATTCTGAAAGTGATAATGAGCCATTAAAATATGGCAACAGGTAATGTGGACCAGACTTGTGTTGCAGTGAGATCATTCTGGCAGTGGTGTGGAGCATGGACTGGAAGAGTACAGCTGGAGTTAGGCCAGTCGGGAAGCTTCTGGAAAGAAATGACGAGGACGTGAACTAAGTCCGCATGTCAAGAAAGGAGACTTTCATTAGCGATTTAGGAGACAGGAGAGACCGTGCTTGGTGACTAAGTAAGTGTGGCTTGTGACGTAGAAGGAGAAGTTTCGTTTGGGACGTGAGTGACTGCGTCGATAGTAAGCTGGGTTGTATTGGGGAGGCGGAGAAGGAGAATGTCTCATGTTGATATTATTGCCTGTTTCAAAAATTAAAGTGCCCAGATTTAGATCAGTTTGATTTTCTCATTCCCATTCATGATCATAATACTTCTGATTAGTACCAGGTAAGGAACATTCCTCTTTTTACTGAAATATAAAATCTTGTGGTTAAACCATGCTTATCGTTATGGTTAAAGAGCCAAATTCTCTAAATCTTTTCATTTCATTGAGTTATATTTTAATTTCTATTTTTCGAGAATGGCATACATTCCTGAAGTCCAGTTTTACAGGTAAAGTCTGTTTATTTATTAATGTGTTAATGAAGAGCACATCTTTTAAAAAGCATTATTTCTACACTAGCATTTCTAGCACAACTCACATGATTGACAGCTCTGAAAAATCAAAGAGTTTCAAAACAAGCATGATTGG